CTGAACTCAAACTGAGGGTTTGGTAGATTTTTTTCAAAAAAATAAATGTTTTGTAAAAGGGTTTTCTAATAAAAAGAAAAGGGGTGTGGTGCATGCAATTGACCGATCTTAAATAAGTTTTCCCAAAATACTAATACATGTTTTATGATATGCTTTAATTTGTGAATATGTGAATCGCATGCTAGTTATGGCTAAGGATTTGCTCAGGATTTGCATGATAGAATGCTAGGAGAGATGCTTTTATATGCCTAATGTGTGAGCTTGTAGACTTTCATGCTAGTACTAATCAGCCAGGGATAGGATGGCCTGTTTAGGTTATATTGGTTTCGATTACTCGATGCTCGAATGCTGCTTGTTATGTGCTTTTAGGAGTTTCCATTAACTTCAACTAACTAGTAAGCGAGTATACTAAGTTACATATTGTTGAGACTAAATAGTTTTAGAAGGTTAGGTTTTAACTCTATTGCGTAGCTCTTGTTTAAGTCCAACCGTTATAGTGTGAGACCTTTCATTTAAAGAATTATCTAGTAACGGCGATATGTAATTGTACTTTTGAGCTAGTGAGATGATGTTAGGGGGAGTTCCTTATGCAGCTGATGGCGGGGAGTGGTGTGGTGGTTGCCCTAGGAAATCCTAGGAAGAGATTTAGTGTTGGAGCCTTTTCTTGTTGAGGATTGTATATATGGATAAGGAGTCACTTGCAGGATTCAAAGAAATCCTTGAGGAAAGTACAGATGGATGTGGAAGGTCGTATGGGCCCATACTACTGGAAGCAGAGGATTCGTACTCGAGTGAAAGAGAGCTGCGATGATACTAGGAAACTTGTAGAGTAGGAGACTCCTCGATATATATATATATATATATATATATATATATATATATATATATATATATATATATATATATATATATATATATATATATATATATATATATATATATATATATATTATATACCTTATAAAGCATATTTGGTCAAATGATGAATTTTAAGTCATACAAACCTTATTGCGAAATGTACAATGAATTTATGTATTGAAATTTTATCCGGTCAAAATATTCTATCCAAAAACCAAGCAAGTCAATGAAATTGGAAGACCCATTCAAATGAGAATTCCCTAAATTTTTGCTAAAAATACGAAAGACTGATTCAAATGAGAATTCAAAATTTGGTGATGGGATTTTGGTCATTTGAATCAGTCAAACGATTGACTCAACCGTCCCATATCTCTTCCCCAGTCATCGGCACCTTCTCCTTATTTCTTAACGAAATTGAATCCCTCACTTTCAAAGTCCTTTGAAACCTAAGCCTGTGCTCTTTTCTTACTTTAGATATAAATACTCTTAACATTGCCACTATTGCATTGATACAGTCGTTCTCTCTCAGTCGGAACCATATATGCAAAAAAGTAGTAGTGCCTCTTCGTTTCTCCTCACTCTCTATGCCTATTTAAAGGTAAGCATAATATTTATCTCTTCTTTTCGATTATTTGTTAAAAAATTCAAATTTGTTCTATATTGTAATCGTTTTCACCACAGACTAAGTCAAATTTTTGTTTTTCTTTGTATAAGCTGTCATGATTTTAGAACCTGCACCGATTTCAAGCCCTAATTTTCACTCTCGATTTCAATTTGAAGGTAAGCAATGGTTCTATCATTCTTTTGGACCCATTCCATATATCTTTCTGTCATTCATAACATAGGGTTTTTATTTGTTTTATTGTGTGCTACTGCATTTCTAATTGTTCTGATTCCATCTCAATGATCATTACACGTTGATTTTGTTCTTCATATCCAACAGTTTGCAGACCAATAATCTGTTAAGAGTCGTAGATCTAGCCAATTTTTCTGGTCTAATGATCCTTCCATCTATAAAGAATTTTAGGTACATGATTTTTATACGTGTTCATTTTTGTTCCAAAACTATTAAAACCTTGGCATATATTGATGGTTTGAAGCCTCGATATCATTAAATATCTTAAAGCCCTGTTATTGAGAAAACTTACATTCATTAATTTATCAATTTAGCCACTAAACAATTACTTTTCCTTATAATTGTAAAGTTATACTTCAATGGATAAATTTATAATATGATTAAATTATGCGGTGCTTTTCTGTAAGTTGTCCTGATATTGATATTGAAATTGGGTAATCTGCAAACAAGGTTTTTATAAATGAACAAAAAAGTGCAATGCTTTACAAATTATTTTTTATAACTTCCCTTATATTTATAAATTGTTTTGTGTTTTGGAAGGAAGTGCATGACTGATGTTTGAGTGGTTTATTCTAGGCTAGACGCTCAAGGCTCCTAATTATGAATTTTTTTTCCAATTGACTTCTAATATTTTTTTTTAGTTATTTTTTGCCTTATACTTGCAGGTTTTTGATTTTTATGGAGTTGATAAGAAATAGGGATGCTCGACACTAAACCTTTTAAAGCAACTCAACCTTAAGGTAGACATGAAAATAATTTTAAACACCATTTTTAGCATTTTCTAATATATACAGGTCAATCTTTTTGCTAAATTCCATTTACTTATATTACAACATCATACTTTGATTATTTCATTACACTATTATAACTAAAATAACCATCAAAACAGAGGAAATATAAAAAAGAAATAAAATATATTTGTTATTGATGTGTGACTATGTTAAAAAGGCTTCATACATGCAAATGGTTTCATGAAAATGGCTTACTTTGTTTATTATGTTTTTTAAACTCTTGTTTGTTATAGGAACAACATTTTTGTTTGATAATGACAAGTTTTTCTATGAAATTGAAGTCATCTGAGTTTTTGAGTAAAATGGAAGCATGTTTGTTTAATAAAATGGATCACTTTTATTTATATGTGGAGGTTTGGTCTTTTCGGTCAATGTAGTAAGTGGTTCTACGTTCCCTATTTTTCGACCATCAATATGGCGAAATCATTAAAAACAATGGGTTGGTTAATAACTTTGTATAGTTAATATAGCCTGAATATATTTTGAATCTTTCCTTTTGCTTTTCTTCCAGGAACAAGATATGGTAGCTTGGGGAGACTTTTATATGATGTATAATATAGGTGAGAATTGGAACTAAGGAAAACCATCGATGTATGGTTGTTGCAAAGGAGAATACAAGACCGGTTCATGTTTATCTTACTAGGTGAGTTTCAAAATCCTTATTCTTTTTCATTTAATTTTCACCAAAAAAAGAGTTATTCTCTAAATGATTAGTGTTTCATATTTGTCCAGGTGTGGGATAGGGAAAGTAGCATGCGTTCTCTTTTTTTCAAAGAATATGCCACCACTAATGGTAAAATAAGATTATTTTAACCTCATCTACACATCATACTCAAATGGTTAATTAAGAAATTAGATTTTTATTTCTATGTGTGTTTCCTTGTGTGGCAAAAATAGGAATAACAATAGACTTTTTGTTTTTGTCTCACACATACAGCCATGCCAATCAGAAATAACATTGCATTTTATGTTTTCGTTTCATTACAGCATCCTACTATTTAATAGTCTCTTGATTTTTTTTACTTTTATAGTATACTATTTTTACAGTTTTTCTTTTTCACTGTATTGAAAGTTATTTTACGAATTCTTGATTTTTTAACATCATAACTTCCCTTAAAATAGCATTGTATTTTAACTATATCCTAACTAACGGTTCCTTATATATGATCTGAGTGTTTTCTACCATTGAATTTGATGTGATCTATTTTTTTTGTCTCACTTGAAAAAAATTTGAAGATGAAAAGTCCTACATTTGACATACTACTTTTCTTAGAACAACATTGTATTTTGTATAGATTTAAAATTTTTTACTTATCTAAGATTTATTTTTAAAGATCCTTGGTAAAAGTTTCAACTACGTCTAATGTATACAATTGTACTTTTGTAAGTAAAAAGTAAATATTGTAGGATTTGTTTTATGAGAAACCATGGTTGTTTAAGAAGTCTATTTTAAATTTTTAATAGGTTTTTGGACTTTTTTTTTGATAATATTATTTATAGAATGTTGGTTGTGTTTTGGTTTTTTAATGTTTAGTAGTGACATTTTATGTTTATTAATATTTTTTATCTTCTATCCTAATAAATAAGTAGCTAATTGCCACGTGGCAATTGCTAAACCCCCTCCCAACGATTTTTCCCGCTCCAAAGCTTCTATGTGAAGTTCAGAAAATACCCTTTCTGCCTCTTAAAACCTCATCCGCCTTCATTCCGCTCTGTTCGTTGGAAACAATTAAGAGTTTCCAACTTCCATGCGAAAAATCAGCTCTCAGCTCTCAAATTCCAGAGATTTTTGAATGTAATCGTTTCCAAAATTATTTATCAATCTCTTTATTTATATGATTACAATTTCATACCCATTCATTTTAACCCTAATTTTGTTATCGAAAATTAAGCAGAGCCGACAATCAATCTCTACCATCAGCTTTGAGATTACAAGCTTGGTATGTTTTACTATGAAACTTCAATTTTTTCTGGATTATTGTATTCTTAAATAGTTTCATTGGTCTCTCTCTATGAAACACATATCTGGCTATGGAAGAACGAAGAATCAGAAATTGATGGTCATCTTCTCCGACAACTTCAGGTAAACCTAAGTCTGTTCCTCCACGCTACTCTTTTTGGTTGTGTTTCCCTCTTGATTTGATTGATGATTTTTTTTCCAGATGTCTTGATTTGATGATTTGTTCCACAAAATCATTCTTAATCTGTTAACTTATAGATCTTTTTTCTTATGCGTTTAATTAGTCGATTATACCATAGTTGGGTTGATCATCTTTGGGATTCACATTTTGTGGATCTACATTTTATGGCTTAATTCAGGTTTTTTGTTTGCAGCTTCTTCACATGATGAACAAGTTAATCCTACTGTCATGGTATACTGATTGCATTCAGTTGCTCAAGTTAACTAGTTTGCTTCAAATAATAAAATGATATTATCTACAAATTGTATTCAGACCCTTGATTGACCAAAGAATGAATACTGAAGCTGTTCAGCAATGTGGAAGTTTCTGTTTCTTCATGAAACAACCGGGGTAGCCATGGTCCCTTACCCAAACTCTCCCAAGTCCCCTTATTTCCATGACTGTCTGAATTGGTTACTGGATAATCAGCTCGATGATGGTTCATGTGGTTTTCTTTCTCATCATTCCATATTAATTAAAGATACTCTCTCTTCAACATTAGCATGAGTACTTAGGGAAAGACCAAATTAACAAAGGTATGTGGCTGTATGCTCTGTTCCTTTTCATAATCTGTTCATATTCTCCAGATAAACAATCGATTCTTGTTGCAGGTTTACATTATATTGAGTCAAATTTTGCTTTGGTCACTAAGAAAAATGAAGCATCTCCATCTGGTTTTGACATCATATTCCCTGGTATGCATGAGTATGCAAAAGATTTAGATATAAAATTCCCTTTAAACCAAACACATTTGAGTGTGATGTTACATTGATTAGAGCTAAGAAGGTATGTTGGTTATTATTACTATAACATATACTCAAAATTCTTAATTTGTTATCATCATTTAGATGTCATTCAAATGAGAGGGAAGCATACTTGGCGTATATCTCAGAATGACTTAGAAATTTGTATGACTGGACCATGGTGATGAAATATCAAATGAAGAATGGTTCTCTTTTCAACTAACCCTCAACAACGACTTATGTTTTTATGCATCATCAAAATGTTGGTTGTCTTAGTTATCTAACTTCACTCTTGGACAAATTTGGGAGTGCATGTATTCATTTCATACTTCATACTCATCCAAATCTTATTCATAAATCTTATATTTTTACTCAATATAATGAACGTTGTTGTGTCATGTATGTGGTAAATATCAGTTGGGCCCAACAGGTGGATGATGCTCTTAAGGTCCCTTCAATGGCAATCTAGAACGCATGTTCACTAGAAGAAATATAGAACATTACAATATAAACCATACAAGAATATGAAAACTACATATATGCAGTCTTAATTTCAAGTCTTAAACAGTTTAGATTTTATTTTTGACTGCATAATCCTTAATCTTGTATTGAATTTCCAGCTCATCAAACATTAGCCATGAAGATTACCTAAAGTTAGCAGTGCAAGATTTTTAATGCATGCTAATCTATATATCCCGGAGAACTAAAAGATCTTGAAAGGCGATTATCTAAAGCTTTAAAGTGATCCCTCTTTAATTATATATATTTTTTTGCATTTACGGTTAAAGCCCATAACTTTTTAAGGAGTTTATAAACCTTGATGTCATTTTAAAAGGTGGGTGGCGGAGAATCGATTGAACAAGCTCAAGTTTGCTAGACAGAAGACAACATACTGTTACTTTTTTGTTGCTTCATTTCTTTCTTCCCCTGAATTACCAGATGCCCTTATTTCATTGGCCAAAAGTAGCATCCTCACTACAGTAATTGGTGACTTTTTTTTACTAACGAGTCACTATTACTTTGCTACAAGCTTTTGCATCTGTTACAATTTGAAGATACTTCAATGGTTAAAATTTATATGTGACAGTTGAAGTGTTCTTTAACTTCAGTTGAAGTGTTTTTTTCATCTAGCCTTTTGACTTTAATCTCTTTAAAAACTCAAATTCTTAATCTTCTATTCAGTGAAGTCTTTAGGGTTGGAATCCTCTGTTTCTTCTAATTTTAGGGCATGAGGCTTGAAGGTATGTTTGATTCTTGTAAAAAACTAAGAAGGTGTTTTCTGAATTCTTTATTTCGTTAAAGAATATAGATATAGATATAACGTTTGTATTTGGTGTGAACAGGGGTTGTGGAAAGAGAATATGATTGTGTTTGCTATCAACAAAAATAGGTAACATCCATTTATTTGCTTTTCCAGACCAACAACCACCTACCGGCTTCAATCACCCGATTCCCTGACTACAACTGTTTACGGATGCCACCATTGAAGTCTTTTTCTTACTGTTTTACGAGCACAGACAAACACACATCACTCACTCAATGGAACACGGTAATTGATATAGAGGTTGTAAGTAACTTAACTTTGGTTATGGATTTGCTTTGTTATAATTTGTCTATATTCTACATCTGGTTGAATCTCTATGGTTCATTGTTGTTTTGTGCTGTTTAAGATCTATTCTTTCTCATATCCAAATTCTAAAGTTCGTTGCTATTTTTTAGTGTTTGTTGAGTTGTAAATCTTGTTGTTACATTCCTTTACTCATTCTGTAATTGTATATTTGTGTTTTCTTTCAGTTTTTGTACTTTTGCCGGTCACCCACTGGCTTTTCATCTTTATAAAATATTTGTTGTTAAATAAAATCAATTTTTTTTTTCTCAAATTTCTAGGACCAACATATTTAGAAGTTGGATATTTTACTTCCTATATCAAACCCAATAAAAGTGTTCGCTTTAATAGTCTTATGACACTAATTGTTTCTTAATATTCGTGGATTTGTAGTTTGTTTAATGTTCCATCAACATTTTCTAAAAATCTAAAAGTATTGATGTTAATTTTGAAGTTGAAATTTTTTAGTTTCACCATAGAAGTCAAAATTTTCTAAAAATCTGTTTTTGCATTTTACCTTATAAGCCAACGTACATCATTTACTCATTGTATATCATGTTTAATTATTTTAGTTAAGTATCTAAAAACATATCAAATTTAATAAAATACATTGTGTTTAGTTATTTCTACTATTCATGTACGTGAAAAACTAAAACCGAACCAATTTTGTTAATTATTTCAAACAAGGACCATCTTTGTTTATAGATTTTTTTGGTTTTTTTGTCACCTTCATATTTTGCATGAAAGGGAAACTTATTTCAAATACATACATAATTATAACATTGTACTTTCAAAGTACAATGCTTAAAAAGAAAAAATAATTAAATTAAATTAAAAAAGGAAATAAAACCCAAAGTAAGATGTTATATTTGACAGAATAATAAAAGCACATTGTTATATATTACATTTTGACCATGATTTGGTTAAATGCAAGAAATATAACTCAAAGTAAGATGCTATATATCCAATGTTGGTAAAAGCTTTAAGTGCATTGTTTTTTTTGTAAAAGATTACAAATACATTGCTATTATAACTATAAACGAATGGTGTATTATTTTATTACATAATCAATTTTTTAATTCTATTTAAAATTAACACCCGTGGGTTCCACGGGTTTTAACCTAGTTTATATATAAATACAGATTTATTTTTATTTTTAACTCAAAATGAAACATTATTTATTTTTTACTCTAAAATAACAACAATTTTTTAATCAAAACAGTAAAACTATTTTATTATAAAAAAACAACAAACTTAGATATTTGAACTAAAACAATAAAATAACTTTAATTGTAACTCAAAACATAAACATAATTTTATTTTTAACTAAGAAACAAACATCTTTTTAACACAAAAATATCAACATTATATAATAAATACGACAACATACTTTTAATTCTAACTCGAAACAAACAAATTACATAATAATATTTAATGATATTTTCTGATATAATGTTTTTCCTTATTAAATATGATATGTTACTTAAAGCAAACTAATCACTAAAATGAAACTAATCATTGTCCGACAAAATGAAACTAATTTCTAGAATAAACTATTCGTACCCGTCGCTTAGCGCGGGTAAACATCTAGTATATATATATATATATATATATATATATATATATATATATATATATATATACACACACACACACACATTAGTCGTGATGTTGCTCATCTTGTTTGTTGCGGTTTGACATCTAGTATTGTTTTTTTTCTTTCACAATCGATCTCATCTGCAACTGTTAATAAGTTTTAATTCACTCGGGTAATCCTTATTGCTGGAAATTGGTAAGTGCTAAGGTTTATTTTATTATGCCTTCCAAGTGTTTGATGTTATGCCTAAAGCACTAGATTGAAACAAATTGGGTCTTTTTGATCACGGCTAATAATGTGTTGCTAATTTGTCTCATTGACTGATGGAACCCAAAAGGTTAACTTATGAAAGATGCATAAACTTGTTTTGTTTCATTTTCCATGGACCCCAAAATTTTAACTTATGTTATCTTGTTTGTGTATTAACAAATATTATTGGTGTCAGTTTATATAGATTTAGAAAAATGACAAGCACCACTAGTACACACAATTTCGTTCTATTTCTTTGTAGATGTATCTTAGGGAAAGATACAACAAAATTACGATGCTTCTGATGGTACAAGGGCCTCCATGCTTGAGTATTAGGCATTCCTAGAGAGCTTAAACTGTATCTTGTGGATTGAAAATAAAGCTATTATTTTAAACGAAGTCATTAAAGGTGGTCTAGCAAAGTTATAATGGATTCAAATGGCTTTAATTTCGTTATATAGTGGGATAGAATATAAAACTATATTTTACATGAATTTCCAATACAAAAACATTGTGTGGGTTTTTATTTTCAAACTTTGTGTAGGTTTTAGTTGTTTATTGATGAATTCAAAGTAATGATCATGGTCTATTTGTTTAATATTGTTAACGTCATCTTCCATTAAATTGCTTTGACTTGTAGAGTGTAACTGTTGTTATACACTTACAGGTTTCAGTTGTTGACAAAACCACATACAACTCCTTTTTGAAAAATCCATTTCTTTTAGGTTTAATGTATTCTTAAAGTGAAGAACATAAAGTGACAAAACCTGGTCCTAAACTCCTAAATTTTCCTTAAAATCCATAGATAATATGTGGTTGTTCTAAGGTGTAAATTGACCAATTTGTCCCTTACATGCTAAAACTTGCATAGCTGTATGAGATCCTTTGTATGCATAGACTTGTCAAAAATTTTCTGCTACCCCTAAAGAAAGTTTTTGGTTCCGCCCCTGCTTATGATGATATTCATAGATATCAATATACTTATAATTATTTACATATAAGATTAATGCAAATTGCTTCTAAACCTTTAACTGTACAAGGTTTACCAGAGAGTTTTTTTAGCTGTTCTATGTGATGGTCGTAATATGAATTGGAAACAATCTTTAATGCGCATAATACAATCTAGTTTGACCCATGGTCCACTATATTTTAATGTTTATCTTAATTTACAATTATCACTATCTGATGTTAATATACTTGATGCTTTAACTTTAAATGTTAAAACAAATGAATATAATTATATGTCAGGATCTGAATTGATATGTATATGTTATAGAATATACTATAGGCCTTTAAAAATGTTAGGTCATAATTTAGTGGTTTGGGCTAGGCAATTATCTTGTATAGGTCCTGATAGGGTTTTGGTCATGTTTTTACTGTTCACGGTTGTATGGGTGTTCACTGTGACAACCGTCAAATTTTGGTCAAGGCAAAGTCAAACTAAGTCAACAAGTCAAACTGGTCAACTCCCTTAACCCTTGTATGTTAGGGTTTACGTTATGTAATAACTGTACAATTCGCTACTTTAATGAGAAAACATCATTTGGAAAATTCATGTGTTTGATTTTCCTTAGCCTTTACAGTGCTAAACAACATTGGAAATTTAATAAACCCTACTCAAGATTACTTGACGCTAATAGGATCAAAACCTATACACTACGATATAAATTGACGTTAATAGCAACATAGTATAGTACAACGTTATAACTATAATCAAATTAAATTATGATACC